CTTGTCTCGACTTGATATTTTAGTTAATTCTAGTTCNACCTTGCTTAATTGTCATTCATGATTTTTGAATTTTTGGATTTTTTTTATCTTATTGTTAATTAGTCTTGTCTCGACTTGATATTTTAGTTAATTCTAGTTCATTAGTTTAGCTTTAAAGTCAGTAATTTAATTAGGTTTTGGTTTGAAACCGTTCAAATTGGTTTTCTGTTCTGTTTTATCATGGATCGATTGGTTAACTTAATTTGGGGATTCATTTCTAACCCAGTTTCAACGAAGGCCCAAAGAATTTGTTCACCTACTTGGGTCAACTTGACCATTGTGATTTTTTGAAATAATAACAGGGTCATGGGGGTAATTTGGGTAGTCTAACCTAAGGGAACCTCAATAATTGAATTAGGTGGCTGCTAATAAGTGATAAGGTTTAGAAAGGGCACTACTGAATTAAATTAAAAGCACTAAGTTAAGTGGGATTAAAAAATGGAAAGGATAAGTTGTAGTGGAAAATGCACTAATTAGATGCCCATTTAAGGGGGCAGAAAAATCAGAAGAAAAGGAAGAACATTCTGAGACACAGAAAAATACACTGAGTTCATAGAGAGTTATAGAGTAAATGATAGAGAAGAGAGAGTCAAAAGAGTTCAAAGATAGGAACATTCTGAAAAATACAAAAAAAAAATTATTGTTACATTGATTCATCCGGAGTTACTCACTGTTTCCTGGTTAAAAATCTGGGTTGTTCTTGTTGTTTAACTACTGCTGAACTTCATCCCCATTTAGTTGTTTTAGTTAGATTGGCTAAGTTATTATGTTGTAATTAAATTATGGACTGTTGAATATTTTTTTTTATCAAGCATGAATTAATAGATAATTTTGTGTTTAGGCTACGGTAGCTAAATATGTGGTAACTTGGAACTGTCAGGGACTACAGCAGTATATTTCCTCAATATATGATTTTAGCTTCAAGTTTGGTTAAAATAGATATTGTGTTTGTATGGGATTCTGTATTAGAACAGTTGTTGATAATGATTGTTAAAGTAACTCCTTAACAGGTTCATTATGTTATTTTCTCTTCATTCTAATGTAATCAGTTGTGTTGTTTAATTTGTTGTTGGTAAATTCATGTGACTATGGTTACTTGCCTCTTCTTTAGCTTCTGGTGGATTTGCTTATTTTTTTGGGCAAGTTTAATATAAGTTTGAACTTGCGATTTTAGGGCTTCTATGTTGAATTTGAGTGTCATTAATCACGGCTTGCAGTTTTCAAATAGCAACTAGTTCGGTTGAGTTCTCTATCGTTGCGTGTGTTCTGTTTCCGTTTGGTTTTTATTTTGTCACTATGTTAATGACTACGGACGTTTGGGTTTATTGTCTATCCTAAACTTCCTGTTTAGTAGCTTGTGTTTTGTATAGGTTTATAAAGTGTATTGTGGAGGTGGGTTTCGAATTTTAACAAAGCTAGGCGCACATAGGTTCTAATGATCATGTTAACATCCTTATGAAATTATAGTATCCAATTAAGTTGTGGCTTTAGTCTTAATGATCATGGAAATGGTTTTGGAGACATGATTCTTTGTTCATTTAACTAAATTTTGGTCATAAAGGGGAGTATCACAGTACTGTCCTCAAGTTTTTGTTGGAATATTTTAAAGCTTGCAATCAAATTTTGTGATAAATGTTTTCATTTACAGTACATATCCAACAAAGCATTCCTTATGTAAGTATCCATTTTAATATGTAAAAGGATCTGTCATTACCTGTGTGCGGGCACTCTAGTAGGCATTTTAATAGGTGAAAGAGTTGCATATATCCTCAACGCATAAAATTGTTAGACGTTGTATTGTTGCAAATGAGTGTTCAAGAGAGATGCAATTATGGGCTACTGTTGTTGCGCTATGCCTCCTAAGCAAATCAAATCAATTATGATTGTACACGTTCGCGTGACATAATTATGATTCTAAAAACCAATTTGGAGTATGCGTTCGCGCAACCTCGATCAAACCTTCTTAATAATAAAAATGGGTGCTAATGGGCCGTTAACTAAAATTAGTTCATATAGCATGAGGTGTGCCATGTTGAATAAAATCCCAAAACCCATGGCCCTCACTTAATTAATTTTAACTCTTTAGAAATTGAGATTTGCCATTTTTATTAAATAACCCATGGCCCTCAGATAATTAATACTGACTCTTTTAAAATCGGGGTGTGCCATCAATTGAATTTTTCATGGCCTCCGCAATTTTTTTTTGTTATTATGAACGATCGTAGTTTGCTTTAGACCCGATTTAGATTAGTATTGTGATTATGCATATGTTTGCTTAACATAATTGCAAATTTAACTCTAAAAAAAAGGACTCTCGAGGGATGCGTTCGCGCAACTTCAACTAAAATTTTCTTAAATAAATAAACGTTATTAATTATGGATACGTACGCGTGACATAATTTTTGACGCTCCAAAAGAAAAGAGTATACGTACGCGTAACTCAATTCTTTAATTACGAATAATCAAGTGATTTTTTTTTAAAAAAAGCGCTAAAGGTAAAATGCATGTAGGATATTAAATAATTTAAGCCAAGTATAAATTGTTAAGCGACCGTGCTAAAACCATGGAATTCGGGAGTGCCTAACACCTTCTCCCGGGTTAACATAATTCCTTACCCGGTCTTCTGATTTCGCAGACTTAAAACTGAGTCAACCTTCCTCGATTTGGGATTTAAAATAAACCGGTGACTTGGGACACCATAAATTATCCCCAGTGGCGACTCTGAATAAAATAAATAATTCCGTTTCGATTGTCACTTAAACTGGAAAAAACTCCCTTATACCCCATTTTGGGTGTAAAAAGGAGGTGTGACAAAATCAATTAAGAAAGTTGATGGGGGTAAATCTCAGCCAAGTATAATAAGATCTAGCTTGAAGGATATTAAAGATGAGCAAGATGAACAATATTTCTCCGTATTTCAGAGAAGAATAACAAATTATACATATAATTGCTTTGAATGTAGAGAAATTTTGTAACAGATATTTGGTTTCAAGTAAAAAGTCGTATATCGATCTTAGAATTGCTTCATTCCCCTTACAGAGTGTTCGGTCCCCTTTTAGAGAGGACAATCTCCCTTCTTAATCTCAAAAGAAAAAAGTACAACTTAAAAAATATTCCAAAAGCATATTCCCATTATTTCCTATCATGTTAACACGACTGCAAACGTCGTGCGTTCGCTAGCCACTGTCGATCGTCGTTCATCACGACCATCCTTAAGAGGCGACATCGCAGGGACCTCGCTCTCTGCTACACTTGATTTTGGTCGTAATCGTCCTAATTTCGACCCATACATAAATAAGTTTATTTTTATGGGTAATTATGTCGTTCACCCAAGAAATAGCTTAATGTTTTATGTCAATTTTAGTGAGTACCCAATGCCCATATGGACCGAACTATGTGGTACCCACGTACATTGATAAACAAATAGTAATACAAAAGTAATAAAGAAAAGGTGGGTACACGTCAATCCTATTGTCAAGAGAACATGTGGTAAGGGGAACTTTGACTACTTCCTACATATTTGATGTTTGAACTAATCTTTTAAGGATCCGAAAATTTTAATTTGTGTCTCATACAATTTATACAACTGACATTAATTGTATGAGACAACTTTTTTGTCTCACAATTTTGTGAACTCAAATTTCTGTGGACCCAGAAGTGTAAAATTGAGGTCCACAAATTTATCAGACAAAAAAAGAGTTTCATACAACTAGTGTAAGTTGTACGAGACACAAAATAAAACTTGCATCCAATTGGTCACATATTACTCATGTCATGTGGAATCCACTGATTTTACGCTATCTTTCAATACAACCTTACAATCCACCCAAAACTTCCATCCCGCTTTTCCACTCCCCCACCACCCAAAAGAAGAAAACAAAAAGAAAACACTACTGGACTCACTTACCACGTAAAAATTAAATTAGCAAAATGTACAATAATACCATACTAATCCAACTCCTCAAAGATGAAATTCAAACAGTTAGATTACTTCTTGCTGGAATAACTTGGCACGTCATTGTTGAAGCGCACAATTCTCCGAAGTCTATGGCTTCTCAATGAAGATTTATAGCCTAAGCATTTATTTTTTTTTTGCCAAAATTACTTTTTTCTAAAGTTAAGTATTTGACCAAACTTTTAGAATGGAAAAAAATAGTTATTTTTGAGTAGAATCAAAAGTAATTTTTGAGAAGCAGAAGAAAAAAAATTCTTCCCAAAAGCATTTTTTTTAAAAGGACTTTTGAGAAAATATACAATGTACTTTTAAAAGCTTGACCAAATACTGATTACTGCTTAAAAATACTTTTCAAATTAATTAGCAATACAAATTGATTCTCACCAAAAAATATTTTTTGAGAAAAATGTTTTCAAAATAAAATAATTTTAAAAACTCCGCATTGCTTCATCGCTTTAAACAATGAAGCAATAGCTTTTAATAACACTGCCTACTTCATTGACCTTTTGACCATACTCTTGGCTGCTATGCTACAGAGGTCATTTGGTTGGGGGAGAAGTTGAGATTATAATGACAGCGATTGAATAATTACAGAATTATTTAATGGATATACTTTTATGGGTAAATATTTAGTTTATTAAACTAAAAATAGGATATACCGGTATAGTATAAAAACATGTACTAATTGATTTACACTAGATAAATTGGGATATATTTTATTACTAATTTTAACCTTGCATTTTTTAAAAGACTCAGAGAAGGACATTTTTGTCCTATTAGTATTTTATCCCAAGATTAGTAATATCGGGATTGTTATCAACCTCAAGGTGGGATAGGATAATACCACAATAATGGTATAACTAATCCCGGTTTCGAAAAGGCAATCGAAATCCCGCACTTTACCAGACGACCCCTAAAAAGACCAACAGAGATCGTGGAGCTTGATGTGAAAAGCATGAACCTAAGCACACGCTTCTTTGAAGTGAAATGCACAGCTTACAGAAAATTAAATTATGTCAAACATATATGAATTTAGTAAAACAATAATCAATAAATTGGTAGGTAAATAACTAATTTCAGCATCTAATGCCTAATATATGATAATGTCAATACTAATCCAACTCTTCACAGTTGAGATTCAAAGTACTAACTGCTCGTTCGGATTACTTTGTAACTCATGTTTGAAGCAGCGCAAACTTCCCTAAAGCACATAGCTTCACCATGAAGCAATAACCCCTTGTGTTACATCGCCTTAAGCGATGAAGTAATGACTTTTGATACAGCAGCACAGTGTGTTGCAAGCCAATCGTTCAGGTTCCTCGCCTATGATCAGGAAGCAAGGAAAGAAATTATAGGCTCTATGATGTGCAGCAAACTCCATTATGAGAAGATACACAGTGGAACCTGGACATGTTCTTCAGCTTCACAACTTGTCCACTTAACTCAGCCAAACCAGGTCAGTTTAAAGCTGTCTAAAACCATTGGTTAGTTGAGAAGTCCAAAAATGCAGCAGTGAAAAAGTAATGAAACCTTTCTGCTTGTGTATATTCATCAAATAATTATATACGTATGACATATTACCTCCCACTGACCTACTTCAACAGGTATATAGTGATAAGATAGCTTGTATTTAGTGGGATAGTTCGTGTCAAAATGGCAGCTCCTCCACATATCAGCTTAGCCAATTGCCAGCCTCCCAATCAGATAATGCATTTGGGAGAAGAGAATTGCATCCGATAACATTTCTAACAGTTACCGTTACAAGGCTGAAAATATTATTCCTGAACTTAAAATCCAAAAGCACAACAAAATTTCACTTAGAACAAAATCAACTGTTCTTTATGAAACATTTTTTTTATTAGTAAACAGCCCACCATTGATCATTGATGTGCAAAAAGATACAAATTGAGTTTGGCATCCCAAACTTTATACATGATCATTGAGCTGTGACTTCTAATCTATATCCTAATAACTAAAGGATAGCAAAAACAAAGTTAGCTCAAAGGAGTATCATAGATAATGTTTTTTTTAAACGGGTAACTTTAGGAGTATCATAGATAATGTTAAGAAGGTTTTTGTGGGCTTTATTCTAAGTAGGTAAGCTCCATTTGTCCATTATTGATTGAATTAAGATCACATATCACCCCTTAAGAATTTTGCATCATTTTCATCCTGAAAGACAAAAAGGAATAGAGGAAAACACTATCACTGGATCCTCATAGCAGGGGCTTCCACTACAATATACTCATTCTGTATTTAGAATAAAGGCAAACAAGAAAAGGACCATTCAAAGAAGTAAAACCAGCATAAGGGGTATCAAAAGCAAAATTCCATTAATTTGTTAGAAAGCCATATTTACATCTACAACTATGATGAAATCAAAGAAATAAACTTCAGCTACTATTCCTGAAACCTAATGAAAAACTAGTGCTGAAGCAGAGCAAGAACAAAAAATGTTTATTCTTCCTTTCATCTTTTACAGATATAAGAACTGATTATACCTCCAAATGCAAATCATAAAATTTGGAAGCCTTCACCTTCAAACTTCCACAAAAACCAAGGACATTCGAAGGACAAACCACCTTTGAAGAATTTCTTCTAACCCTGCAAGGAAAATCACACTGTCACATACACGCACAAGTCTATGGGAGAAAATAATATCTAATCTTATCATGAGTTAAGTTTTATGCACAATCAGGTCACTTAAAAGCTAACCGCAACCTAAATAAATGGTAAGTAACGTGTTATAACAGGTTACATTGCATTGATAGTTTAAACTTAAATCCATCAAACAGTAAATTATACCTTTGGAAGATTTTCACAAACTTTATATGAATCAGGAGTTATTGAAGCAAGCCATAAACCAGGGAAGAGTGTCTGTAAAAGAAATTCAAATCATCAGATAACTAGAAATCATAGGAGCAAAATAGAAAGGGAAAAAAAAAGTGACGATAAGTGATAAATACTTACATCAAGTTGTTTCTGAACAGCTTTAATTCTCTTCTTAGGTCTTCTAGCAGCTTTTAATCCAGTCATAGCATATATATCTTCATCGATCTCTTCTCTGGATAAGGCCATGGAAAACCTTTGCCTTTTTTCCTTCTTCTGAGCAGAAGCAGCATGGGTTTCATTATTTTCCGGCTTGTTCATGTTCATAATCTGATGAGGTGATTGAGATTTGATCTCCTGCATCGCGGATCCACTGGATCGAAATGGAACTCCTCCGTTTATATTCAGTGATTTGTGTATTGGTTTTCGAGGTCTCAGATTCCACGTTTTTTGTGCTGTTTCCTCAGCTGCTGCAGCTTCGTCGTGTGATTCGTCTGCCTCCTTTTGATTTTGATCCTCGTTGATTTGAATTTCTTCAGGTTTGTTTTTGCGCGGGATTTTGATTAAGATTTTGGATCTGCTTTCTTTGCTACTGACAGCATTAATCTCTGGTACCTTATGCTTTGATCGTTGAATCGACGGAACAGGATCACGCATCGGAGACTGATGCGCCGTAGCAGAATCGTGCATCGGAGACTGACGTGCTGATTCACGCATCGGAGACCGGAGAAACCCCGCTATAGGTTCATGCATCGGAGACCGGCGAGAAGCCGCGGCAGAATCGCGCATCGGAGAGTGACGCGCCGCCGCAGCCGAATTGTGCATCGGCGATTGACGCGTCGTCGCAGCAGATTCACTTATTGGAGACTGACGTGCCGCCGCGAGGGATTCACGCATCGGGGACTGGGACTGAAACTGTCTTAGCGGCGAATCGTGCCGTGACGGAGAGGAAGAGTCAGACGACAGCTTGTTGGAGCGGCGACGTTGGTGATTGTTCGAATGATGATTCTTCTTCCATTTCAAGTGGGAAAAATCGAAGTTATGAAGTGGATTATTCGACTTCGCCGGTACTGTAGAAGCCATAGTAATAATTCTTTTCTCAGATTTAACAAACAAATAATACCCCAAATCAATATTTTCTTCAATTTCTCTCAAAGAAGTAACAACAAAGAGCCGATCGGATAATTTGAAGCAACTATATCAAGGCAATTGACTCTTAAGAAACCAAGAAATCCTCATTGTGAAATATAATGAGTAATTAAATGGATGGAAATATAGATATGTGAATTAAATTTTAATGGATAAATAAAAAAGAGGTGAATTTCGTGTGAAGAGAAAATTGGAATAAGGGGGAAGAGGAAACTTTGGATGGAGATGAAAGGAACCCTAGAGAGGCGATGGCTTGGAGGAAAGGGAGAAGTGAAAGAGGAATAGCAGTAGTGTATAGAGGAAGACAGTTGATTAGAGAGTAAAATAACAATTAACAACCCCTTTGAGTCAGCCTGAATCCTGAGATTAGATGCAGATGGGAGTTTCTCTTCTATATTCCCCATTCTACGCCCTTAACTTCTTTCTTTTTACGTAAAAGGTTCAAAATGCCCTAAGCTATTGGAATCTGATTACAAATACCTTTCATTCATTTATTGGGTTAAAAATACTCTTTTATCAATTTTTTTTGTTCACTTATACGCTTTGACCCTTAGGTCAATGCTAAATTAAAAATAATTATTATTCTTTTTGTAAAATTTAAAAAAGTAATTATAAAATATTTTCCTTTTTTTAAACTAATGCACCAATAGTCCACTCATTTAGTAAAGTATTCTTCTTATTATTTTTCAATTTTTAAAAAACAAATTCAATTTTTACAAAAAAAAAATAATTTTTTTCATTCTTTTTAGTTATTTTAAAGCATTATTTTTTATAAAAACTGTAAAAAAATTGTAAAAACCAAAAATATTTTTAATAAAATATTTTTTTCATTTTTTCAGTTTTTTTTAAAGCATTTTGTTTTTCAGTTTTTTAAAAGAAAAATTATTTTCGTTTTTAAAAAAAATTCCAGTTTTTAAAAAACGAAAATATTTTATTAAAAACTGAATTGTTTTTTGTAAAAATTGAAAAAAAAAAGAAGAAAAGAAAAAGAAAAAGAAGACTTTACTAAATTAGTGGACTACTGGTGCATTAGTTTTAAAAACAAAAATATTTTGTAAAATATTTTTTTAAGTTTTACAAAAAGAATAATAATTATTTTTAATTTAACATTGACCTAATGGTCAAAGGGAATAGTGAACCAAAAAGATGAATGCATAGATATTTTTAGCCCTATAGATGGATGAAGGGTATTTTTAAACCTTTTCCAATAGTTTAGGGCATTTTGAACCCTTTTCCGTTCTTTTTATTTATTCAAATTCATATTCGTAAAAAGAGGTAACATGTTAAATTTCTTTCATTAGTAGTGCTCCATCTGTGGAGTAATTAAGGGTATGTTTGGTACGGTGGAAAATATTTTTTGGAAAATATTTTCCAATTTTTTTATGTTTCCTTATAAACTCATTTTCCTGCAATTGGAGGAAAATATTTAAAACTCATTCTCAACCTTCCTCACTCTCACCAATCCACCCTACATCCCACATCCACCTACCCAACCCCACTCCCTCTCACCAAAAAGGCTTTTTTTTTAAATTGCAATTTTTTTTCATCACCACCCACCCTGCTACCTCCCCTAAAAAATTACTTTTTTACTTCTTTTTTTGTAATTTTAAATTTTTATTTTTCGTTTTTCTGCACCACCCAACC